TTATTTTTCTTCCCTTCTGTCCCAACTCGGCAAATCTTTTTCTTGGCTTCTTGATTATTGGAGAGAGTGAATGTTTTCCTACCCTGTCTTTTCTGGAACCAAGCATGGTCTGTTAGCAATAAACCAGAGTTTCCTCACTCTCTGGAACTCTATCTTCTATGTCCTTTGTAAACCCCCCTCTCCACAGAGTCTCTCAGTCTTATAACTGGAGCCCCAGGACCAGGAAATACACGCTGCCTGAGTTTTACTTTTCTTCCCCAAGAAGCAGAATATGTTAACTCTCTCTCAGAAAATACCATGAAGTTCCATTTCATTGTTGTCAAAAAGATTCGTTCTGTAAGAAATTCTGATAATATGTGTATTAGTTAGGGTGCTCCAGAGAAACAGAACCAATAGAGGAGAGAGAGAGACAGGGAAAGACGAGAGAGAGAGAGAGAGAGACTTATTTTAAAGAACTGGCTCATGCAACTCTGGAGGCTGACAGGCCCAAACTCTGCAGGGTGGGCCAGCAGGCTGGAGCCTCGGGGAAGAGACAATGCTGCAGTTCAAGTCCAAAGGCCATCCACTGGCAGAATTTCCACTTGGCTTCGGAGAGGTCAGTCTTGTTCTATTCAGACCTTCAACTGATTGAATGAGGCCCATCCACATTATGGAGACAATCTGCTTTACTTGAAATGTCAGCCTCGTTATCATGAGGTATCATGTTAATACTCTCACAGAAACGTCCAGAATAACATTTGAGTAAATATCTGGGTACCATGGCCCAGCCAAGTTGATGCATAAAATTAACCATTACAATACTATAAGCTGAAGCTTTTACCACCCCAAGAGTCATGTCAGAATCCTGACATAGTTGTGTAGGTGTTAGTTGCTGGGAGAACCACTGGATCCAAAGTCTTCATGGAACTACAGATTGGCATCAGCAGAAAAGAAAGGAAGCTGGCAAAGATGGAAAAATCATCAAGTGGACAGAAATGTTATGATTATAAAAGACCAACCAGAAGAGGATTTTATTCTGGCAAACATGGAGACTCTCAAGCCCCAATACTTTTTCTCCTGTTCTGTTTCAAGGATGAAGAGGAGGAAAATCCAGAAACCAAAGACCAGAGAGGAAGACATTGCTGCACTCTTCCTTCAGACATGCTGTGGACCAGGGTTCCAACAACCGAACCTTTGGGGCTGAGATATTTCCTTCCTGACTCCTCTCTGTATGGGGGAACTGAGACACTTGGCTTCGTGCCTAGGGAGTAAAGCCTGTGTCTGTAAAAGAAGGTGTGTCTGGGCCCTGATCCTTAGCGAAGCAGCAGCAGCAGCCTTACAGCTCTGAACAGACCCCAGGAAGGGCTTTGAACAGGAAGAATCTTGTATCTCTTCAACAAGTATCTTTGTACCAGGCACTGTTCTAGATGCTGGCAATACAGCAGGGGACAAAACCCGCAAAAATCCCTGCTTTCCTGGAGTTTACATTCTACCATGGGAGACAGACAATATACAATATAAATAAGTGAAATGTAACATATAATATGCTATTAACAAGTGGTAAAGAGAAAAATTAAGCAGGGAAGGGGACTAGAAAATGCTAGGGAATGGATGTTGTCATTTCATTAAGGTGGCTACGGAAAGCCGCCCTGACAAAATAACATTTGAGTAACGACCAGAAGGAAGAGAGAATGTGAAAGATGCGCATCTAGGGAAAGAGAATTCCAGGCAGAAGACTGTTGTTGTGGGTTGAATTGCTACCCAAAACATATACTGAAGTCGGATCCCTGGTACCAGTAAAATTTGCCCTTATTTGGAAACAGGGACTTTGCAGATGTAATCAAGTTAAATGAGGTCATTAGGATGGGCTCCAATCCATTATGTATGACTGGTATCATTATAAGAAGACACAGAAACACAGATATATGGGGAGAAGGCCATGTGATGACTGGGTCAGAGATAGGAGGGATGTGGCTGCAAGCCAAGGAATGCCAAGGACTGACAACCAGCATCAGAAGCTAGGAAGACGCAGGGAGGGATCCTCCCCTAGAGGATCCAGGGGGAGCACAGCCTTGCCAACACTTTGATTTCAAACTGCTAGCCTTCCGAACTGTGAGACAACACATTTCTATTGTTTTAAGCCACCCAGTGTGTGGTACTTTGTTAGAGCAATCCTAGGAAATTAACGCAGCCATGATGCAGGAACAGTGATAGAGGAATGGGAGTAATAGGGGAATCAGAGAGGTTAACATTACAGATGTCAAGACCATATAGTGCCTCATAGGTCAGAGAAGTGACATGATCTGACTTACTCTTCAACAGGTTCATGTATGGTTATAACCGTGTGCTGTATTCATGGCTGAAAGGAAGTATATAGAAGAACCTGGATTATATTAGATAGATGATGAAATAATCATAAGTAGTAGTGAGAAAGGTACCAAACTGTATAAATACTAATACTTATAATTAAATCTTTTGTTTGCCCTTTAGGTCTATTTTAATCTAGTCTTGATGCATGGCTTATTTTAAAAAGATGAAAATTTTCAAAATAGATTATTAAGGGGCAAGGTATGGACTCTCTTATCTGATCTCAGTTGACCACACTAGTGGTCAACTTGGTTGTTCACACCATAATCACACGACCCCAAATGCCAGCCTCAGTTGCCCTCTCTGCCACCCGACAGGTTTAGTGCCTGTAGCCAACTCACCTGGTCTCTCTGGATTCCCTGGAGAGATGGTCACACTGGGCTTTCTCCTGGGTCTGATGTCCACTCCTGAGCCGGGACTGGGTCAGGGCTGAGCACTGGGTCATTTTGGATGGAAAGCTGCCCTCCTTCCAAGACTGTGGATGGAGTTTATGTTCTAAGAATAGGATGTGACAGTGGGAAGGATATAAAGGGCATCTCCAGCACAAAAATCCTTGGCTGTGACATTGTAGAATACATCTTCAATTTGAAGCCAGTGATCATTTGTGAGTTCCTCTTTTGCCATGTATTAATTGTACGACCTTGAATGGAGTCAAACTTTTGAGCCTGTTTCCTCAACTGAAAAATAGAGATAATGCCCTTACTTCAAAGATTTATTTTCATTCACTTATTTTAAAAAATAATTTTACATGTCTAGAGATGGGCACTAGGCTAGGCTAGGTACCAGAAAAATAAAGATAGAAGATCCAGCCCCTACTGCAGAAATGTCCACAATCCAGTAATGGAGGCAGGTAAGAAAGCAAATAATTACAGCTCTAGGTGAAATGCAGCAAGAGAGAGACGCATACCTGGGTTAGCACTCCTTGTCCGCCCTCCCTGTGGGGTGTGTGTGGTGTGGACAGAACAGATGAGGGAGAAAGAATGGGGTACACTTCCTAGAGGAGATAAACTTGGGTGAAGGCTTGACAAACAGGTATTACTAGGAGATAAATGTGGGGAGGAGGAGGTGTGTCCAGGCAAGAAGGGCAGCACGTGCTAAGTCACAAAAATGTGAGATTGGTCATTTCGGAGATGTGCCCATGGGGAAGCAGGGCTGAAGTGGAGAACAGCAGCTGGTGTAAGTGAGGCAAGGAGTCTAGCGGGGTGTCTAGAGATGAGGCTGGAGTGGAAGGCTAGGCTCTGATTGAGGAGGAAGAAGCGAAAGGATGTGTGGGTAAGTCCTCCAAGAGCCAAAAGGGCTGCACACACAACAGTGGCTGACATTCATGAATTGCTGAGTATGCGCCAGGAATCAGGCAAAATGCTCTCATGAATTTACCCCTATCAGGCAGGTAATATTATCTTTATTTAACAGGCTATTATTTGAGTAGTTTTCCCAGGGTCACATGGTGTCTTAGTTTGGGTTCCCCTAGAGGCAGACCTCGAGAAAACATTCAAGCACCAGTAGGTTACTTAGGGGCTGATGCCAGAAAAAGCCTGGGGAGGGGGACAGGTGGGGCAAGGAAATGATTGGCAAGCAGGAGACAGAGAGGTGTGTGCTGTCGAGCAGATTAGCACTGAGGGCAAGTGGAGCTCAGTCCCACTGGGGAATTTTGGGGAGACAGTGAGGAATATTACTCAGTTATTTCCTCCAAGTGGTGAGGAAGCTGGGATACTTCTGACCAAATCTCCATAACAGTTTGAGGGCTGTTGCTCAGGAAGTTAATCTGGCTTTCCTGGCTTCCCCTGCAGAAGGGCCAGGGGTTCTCAGGCGGCAGATTTCAGGGTGTAGAGGTAAGGGCCGAGCAGTTAGGAGCAGGACACTGACCGGGAGTGCTACACACAGGTAGTCAGTGCAGGAGCCAGGGTTTGGTCCCAAGCAGTCTGGCGCATGTTTTAACAATATTATACTGCATCCCAATTGTAAATTGTTATTAATAAACGTATTCTTACTGATACAGTACTCTTCAGAAAACATAATACTAAGCCTAGAATAGAGGAAGCCCATCATCCAAATGAATTATTGGCCCCTAACAGATCCTTAATGAATATTTGTGAATGAATTTTTAAACATTCAATACAAGTTACTCATTCAGTGTTATCTGGGCGAAAGAGCCTCTGGCTGGAAATCAAGAAATGTGGATTGCAGTCTGGGTTCTGTCATTAGTTTGGGGGCCTCAGGGGAGCCCTTTAGTCTCAATGAGCTTCACCTTTCTCATCCTACTCTTGTTTCACTACCTACCCCACCTGCCTACAAGTAGAGTTATTGTGAGGATGAAATGTGCTGATGGATGTGGAAATCTGAAAGTACAGCAGACTGAGGGCAATCCAGCAGCTCTGTCCTGGGAGCTAGTTATCTCATCTCCTGGCCTTTGGTCTCCCAGGATCCAGGACCACCTACTCTGGGCAGCCCCACTGTATCAGTTAGAGCTCTTGGTTGCAAATACCAGAAGCCAACTCTGGCTGTTTCAATCAGAAGAGGAATTTATTTGAGAGATATCAGGAAGATCACAGAATTGGCAGGAAGGCTGTGGACTCAAGCTTTGAAAATGGACATGAACCGAAGGAGACCATCTCAGGAGACAGAAATTCCACAACACAGAAACATCTCAGTTAAGATGCCACTGCCTTTCCCACTGAGCAGTGGATGCCAGTCCTGCCACGCACAAGTTCTGAACTGACCCTATTTATTGGGTCATTTGCTTCAAATTCAAGGTCTTGGGCAGGAGTATCAGCAGGGCCAAACTCAGGCCTGTGCTTATACTCCAGCTGCCAGGGATTCAGGAGGGCAGCTCCCAGAAGGGTAAGACACACTCTGCTTCCCATGAGACCCATGTCTCATGCAACGGCAGTTCCCTCAGATGTAGGAATAGGGCTCAGATACTGGGCAGTCAATTAAAAACGTGATCCCTGACAAACATCCTGTATATACAAGAAAACTCAGAAGTCCCATCCAGCTCAGGCTGTGGGGAAAGTGGGGATATTGATTCAAAACTGGAAAACTAAGACAGGGGAAGGTCATAATTTACAGAGTAGCCACAGTGACTTGAGACTTCTTATTTACCAGGAACCGTTCAAGGTGCTGGATATAAAGATGACTAAGACACAGGTATAGGCTTCAAGGTGCTCTAGCCGAGGAGAGAAGAAAGATAAACACTAAAATAAAGTGTGATAAGGAAAGACTTCACTGAGATACAGCAAAGGAGAAAGGGCACAGGGAGCAAAGGATTAATGCTGGGGATCGTGTGGGTGGTCAGGAAAGCTTCCAGAGAGAAGGTGGGTCTAGAAGGAATGGAGGGGAGAGGAGGAAAGGGTATTAGAGGCAAGGCCATGTCTGGTATGAGTTAATCGTCCTGATTAGTCAGAATCTGGTCCTGGTATTTCCTGCTCATTCCTTTCCTACTGCCACCAACCACAACACATATGCTGCTACGATTAAGGTCTAAAATTAGTATTAGTAAAGTCCCAGTGTTATTAGGGTATTGTTAAAGCCAGGTTTTGCTTCCTCTGCTCTCCCCCAAATCTCTGGTGCATAATGGTATTGGCACAAGCTTATTGCTGCTTCTGTTGTTTTCAATGCAACCAACCATATACTCAGTTAGACCTGGGTTTAAATAATGGCTCAACCATTGACTAATTATAAGACCTCTCTGAGCCTTGATTTCCTTGAAGGTAAAATGGGAATCAAAATGATTTGCCTTCCAAACAAACAAACTTACAGAAAAAAGATATTTATTGGTTACCATAGGTGAAGGGTGGAGGGAAGGAGAACTGGAGGCAGGTGATCAAAAGCTACAAACTTCCAGTTATAAATAAAAACTAGGGATACATGTTATTACAATACACAATATGATTAATATAATTAACACTGTTGTATGTTATATATGAAAATTGTTAAGAGTGAATTTTAAGAGTTCTCATCACAAGGGAACAATTTTTTTTCTGTAACTTTGTATCTGTATGAGGTGATGAATGTTCACTAAACTTACTGTGCTCATCATTTCATGATGTATGGAAGTCAGATCATTTTGCTGTACATCTTACACAGTGTGTAATTTATACAGTGCTGTATCTCAATAAAATTGGAAGGAAAAAATACTTGTAAGGGGGTAAGTATAGCTCAGTGGTAGAGTGCATGCTCAGTATGCATGGGTCCTGGGTTCAATCCCCAGTACCTCCTTAAAAAAAAGAAAAAAGAAAAACAGAAAAAAAAACTACTTGTCCTCCAGGAATGTTGTGGGGATTAACTGAGATAATGTTTGCAAAGCGCAAGTTGCTGTGATTGATGGTTTGAGGCAATTCTCTGCAAGTCTGATGAAGAGGAGGATACTGCTCTGCTCTTTCCCTTTGACCTGAGGGGTTTCATAGAGCAGCTGAGGAGATCACAAGAAGGAAACATCTTCCAGGAGAGAAGGAGCCCACAGGTTGTGCCAAAAATGTGTGAAAACTGAGGTCAGGAGGGATTGGTATGAAGTTTATCTTGAGCTCTGAGCCCCTTTCAAAGCCTGACGCCATGGTGGGGCTGCGAGCCTGGTTCCTGGAGTTGAAGAAGGTTTTCCAGTCCCACAAGAATGATTTCAATAACAGCCCTTCTGGCACTAAGGATGTTTGCCTCTGTCCATTATAAGGAGGAAACCATTTACCCAGATGTGGGCCTGGTCAGGCTCCCTTCTCTATGGAGATTAGGGGCAGAGGGTGGAGGACAGCACCTCCATTAGCCACTGCTTTTACGTACTGTTCCCGCACAGCATTTGAAAATGTGTGCAGTATAACAGGCTGAATAACACTGGTGTACTAACACTGTGTCCTTTCAGAATAATAAGCGTGGTATCTGAGGGGAATTTGCTGCTGGCTGAAGCAGTTTAATGAACGGGGCAGATCCAGCTGTGAAAATGCTGTGTGGCTTGGAGCAGACACCAAATTATGTGGAGTATGAATTTACATCTCCTTTCTGAAATTCCTGATGTGCAATTTATTAGTCTCTTCTTACTAATAAACTATGCTGTACTAATCCAGCCTTGGACTTCCAGGTAAATTCTGATCATTCATTCGCTGCACAAGTATATACTGAGTACTTACCACATGCCAGGCATTGTGAGGAGTGGACTGGGTTTTGATTCTGGTTCTGAAGAAAGGAGAGGAGATTGTTTTGTGAAAATGCAGACGGCTTCTCCCTTCAGACATCATTTATGAGAGAAGAGTGACTGTCTCCCCAACCACATATGGAGAAAGTAATTTCATGGAGGATGGCTTAGTTCACTGGGCTCCTCAGCTCATCTGGGGGCAGGCTCAGGAACGGGACTGTTGCTATGGTAACTTGGCATTAACACACCTTAGCTCCTTTGTGTCACCCCCAAATTAACTTTACAACCAGTGTACATTTTCAGAACATGGAAAGCTTTTCTTAATTTCCACACAGCCAGTTATAAAGCATTACCCACGCACACAGACAAAGGGAGGGCCCTTTGTTTTTGAGGCTGAGGCTCTGCTCATGCGGTTTCCTAAGCCGCAAGCAAAGAATCAGGATCCAGACTCTTGTTCTTTTATGGAAGATTTCACTTTCAAATCCCTTTCACATACGTTATCTCACTTTTTATTGCCATGTTTTTTAACCTCATGCTTAAGCAAACAAAAAAAAGGGGGGGTGGGAGGAAGAAGAACCTACTTAACATTTATGCCTCAGAATAACCATATGAATAGGAACTAACATCTCCATTGCACAAATGGAAGAAGGCTCAGAGAGTTCCACAGAGTGCCCAAGGCCACATGGTTAGAAATGGTAGGATGAGGAATGGATCCAGGCCTTTAGGTTCCAAGTGTGGTGTCTTTCTGTTATCTCTCTACTGACTCCTGGTCCCTTTGTTATTTAACAAAAATAAAGATGTATACAAAACAACAACCAGTTTGTGCTTTATTTAAAAAAAAAAGTCTTTACTGAAGTATTACGTCTTTCATAAAATTCACCCGTTATAAACATACAGTTCAATGATTTTTTTTAAATTTCTGCAACAGCTTTATTGAGATAAAATTCATATATCATACAATTGACCCATTTAAAATGTACAGTTGAACGGTATTTAGGATATTAACAGAGTTGTGCAATCATCATCACAATCAATTGTAGGACACTTTTTTCACCTCAAAAAGAAACCCTGCGTCCTTTAGCCATCACCTCCCAGTCCTCCCATTCTCCCCATTCTGCCCCCCAGCCCTAAGCAACCACACATCTACTTTCTGTCTCTACAGATTTGCCTCTTCTGGACCCTTAATACAAATAGTATCATACAATATATGGTCTTTTGTAACTAGCTTCTTTTACTTAGCATAACGTCAAAGTTCATTCAAGCTGAAGCATGTAACAATACTTCATTCCTTTTATGGCCAAATAATATTCCATTGTGTGGATATACACCATTTTTTGTTTATCCATTCATCAGTCTATGGACATTTGGGTTGTTTCCACTTTTTGGCTATCACGAATAATGCTGCTGTGAATATTCATTTGTGCATACATGTTTTCTTTTGTCTAGGAGTGAAAGTGCTGGGTCAAATTTCATTCCTATCTATCTGGGAATAATATTACTTTTCCATCAACAATATAGGAGGGTTCCAGTTTCTTCACACAGTCACAATCGCTGGTTGTATTTAGCGTTTTTCACTTTACATTGTTTCTTAGATATAGTTCCATATCCACAGGGTTGTCAGTTTAACTGGTTACAGTGTTCCAAAGCAGTTAGTCTGACGTTGTTTAAGCATTGTTAAAGCTGAGAATTTGTACTATTTCCAGTTTTATGCTGTTATAAGCAGTAGGACTAGGATCTGTACCATGTACTACTTTTTCCCTTTAGCTCATTTCTTTGAGGTATGTTCTGAAGTGGAACAAAGGGCACACACAGATCTTTGTTACTGCTTCCCAGATGACTGGGTGAAGACCGACTGTGCGTCAAATGCCACCTGCAAACCTCATGTCTGCCTAATTCCCCACAGCCTCTGTCAGCATAAGGCTTTATTGCTTTCTTCATGTGCACTAATAATACAGGTGTATAATAAAACCTTAAGGTTGTTTAGATTTGCATTGCTTCTGCTGTTGATAAACTTCTAACTTTTTAGTGGCAGTCACATCGTCAGTCTGAGTCTTTGATCCAAAGAGGCCAGGCAGTGCAGGAGACTCTATGGGTCAAGCGGAGCTGGGTTTGGGAACGTGGGTTCAGTTATGTTTGATGGGGTGGTTGTCGCCTCAGGCGTAGATGAAGAGAATGCTGCTAAAACTCTGTACTGATTTAGGCAGCTCCTTTTTCAAACTCCCCCCTCATTCGGCACCTCTCCTGGTTCTGCTCCTCCCTCTCTGACCTTTCCTTCTCAGTCTCCTTTGAGAGTTTCTTTGCCTTTACTTGCCTCTTGGAGATCGGTATTCCCCAGGATTTCATTCTTGGGATTCTTCTTTTTTCACTTAGTACTCGGGGCAATCTCATCCACTCCCCTGGCAGTAATAACAACACAAATGCTGACAACACCCCAGCATTTATCTCTAGCCTAGACTTCTCTCTCGTGATATCCAGGTACACATATCTAATGCCCTACTGTGCATCTCCATTTGAATGTCCAGTATTTCCCCTTTCAAACAACTCCTTTTTCTCTCATATCTTCGAGATGGTGGCAACATCTACCTAATCACCCAAGTCAGAAACCTGGAAGTCACTCCAAATTCCTTCTCCACCCTACATATTCCTTAAAGTCTCTCAAGTGCATCTTCTTTTCTCCAAATCGATTACACCAATTTGATTCATGTTTTCATTGTTTCTCCCAATAATTGTGGCATTTTTAAACATATTAGGATTTTATTAGTCATAAGTTTATCATTTTAGGAAGGAAAAGAAAAAAGATTTCTTGAACAGCTACACATACGGAATGAAAGGAGGAACTGAGCAATCACTGGAAAAGCATCTCCAGGGAGGTTCCAGGGACCTCGGCAGTAGCAAGCAGGTTGCCCGCAGAATGACTCTCAAGTGTCTGCTTTCAGTTTGACTTGGTTCCAACAATGCTCAGCCTCTGCATCTCTTGGCTCAAAACACTAAATTTCTGGGAGAGTCTAGAGACCAGTGAAGATCAAGAGGGTGAAGAGACTGAGTCATGTAAGGGAAACACAGCTGCTGGAGGATAACCTTCATGTATTGGAGGCAATTATCAGAGAAAAAGAGAGGGCATGAGATGGACAGTCTTTCCAGAAGTTGTCTACAACACTGTCACAATTTCAGGACTGTTCTCCCCGTTTTTAGTCTTACCCTTCAGAAACCCACTTCTGCCAGAACGACCCTCCAAAATACTGGTCTGGGGGAAAACAGAAGCAGTAGGCAAAGTATGGGCATGAAATCCTCATTCAGTGCTTACTAAGTCTGGGACTTTGAGCAATGATAACTGTCATCTATTTGAGTCCCTACTATTTGCCAGCACTGTGTAGGCCCTTCACATACATTATTTCCATTCCTTGAGACAGCTCTGTGAGGTGAATATTATAATTGCTGTGCAGGGGAGAGTGGCCGAGACTGCGGAACAGAAAGCCCCTGAGCTCACCTTCTCTCAGGAGCACACCAAGATCACAACTATCTACAGAACAACTATCAGTGAAAAAGCCTGGAACCTACCAGAAAAGATCTTCCACACCTAAAGACATAAAGAAGAAACCATAACAAGATGGGCAGGAGGGGGAACACTTGCAGTATAATCAAATCCCATGCCCCTCAGGTGGGCGACCCATGAACTGGAAAATAATTATGCTGCAGAGTTTCTCCCACAGGAGTGAGAGTTCTGAGCCCAGGAGTCCAGCAATGGAAAGACAACCCCCAGAGCATTTGGCTTTGAAGGCCAGCGGGACTTAACTGCAGGAGCCCCACAGGACTGCGGGAGATAGAGGCTTTGCTCTTAAAGGACGTACACAAAACCTCACGTGTACCAGGACCCAATGCAAAAGCAGTAATTTGATAGGAGCCTGGCCAGACCTACCTGCTGGTCTTGAAGAGTCTCCTGGAGAGGCGGGGATTGCTGCTGGTGCCTGGGGACATTGGCGGCAGCCATATTGGGGAACAGTCAGCCATGTGAACGCTGCTGCCTCTGGTAGCTATGTTGGCTGATTAGCACCAAGACCTAGCACCACCCAACAGCCTGCAGGCCCCAGTGCTGGGAGGCCCAAGGCCAAACAACTAACTGGGTGGGGACATAGCCCCACCCACCAGCAGACAGGCTGCCTAAGGACTAAAGAGCTCACAGCTGCCTCTGGGCTCACCTGTAGACCCAGCTCCACCCACCAGTGTAGAGGCACCGGCCCTTCCTCCCGGGAAGCCTGCACAGGCCTCTAGACCAGCCTCACCCACCCACCAGGGGCAGACACCACAAACAAGAAAATTATAATCCCGCAACGCAGGCCAGACTCTACCCTGGGACCAGCTGAGCCCTGGCCCCGACTACTATCACACCAACACAACACGACCTTTGGGACAGCCCTACCCCCATACCCAACTGTGTCTAGAGCCGCCCTCCCCTCCCCAACCAATGATCTGAAATGAGCTCTGGGATCCCTGGGCCCTGTGGCCAGACTCCAGGAACCAGCTCTGCCTGCCAGTAGTCCAGCACTAACCCCAGGATCTGTCGTCACCTGCTGGTGGGTGGGCAACAGCCCTCGAGTCTTTAGGACTGATTCCATCCATTAGTGAGGCACCAGTATCCCCAGGGCCCCCTAGGGCTCCGCAACCAGCCAACCAGACCAGGGGCAAACCAAGCCTACCAGACCACCCAGATAGCCTGCAAAACCACAAGGACCCACACAGCCCTCACAGGGGGAGCCCTAGAGCATACAGCTTGGGTGACAAGAAGGGAGTGCCCTGCCGGGACGCACAGGATGTCTCCTACAGAAGGCCACTTCTCCAACATCGAGAAACGTAACTAATCTACCACATCCATAAAAATCCAAATAGCAGTGCCTGTAATTAGAGTTCCAAAGTTATCAGAAGAAAGAAGAAGGTTCAGGCAGCACTCAGTTAAATAGAAGAGAGGAAAGGAAAAGACAAAAATCAATGAAAACAAGCTTGTTTTTCTTGAGAAGATTAATAAAATCAGTAAACCTCCAACCAG